TGGATAAAGCAGTGGGATCGTTTGGTGTTATCGAAAATGGCCCGTGACATTGACCAGTCACGCATGTAAATGAGTGCCAAGTGGTTTTCATTTATATATAACGTTTATTGGGCACAAGTGGTATGTTGTGTTGAGTTGTGAATTTGGTTTCGCATTCGTTGATACTTTTTTGTGGTATCGGATCTAACCTGAAGTAGGCAAAGACGAGGTGTGGACACGTTCCCCTTGTGGTTGTTAGTTGTTTCCAACCTTTCGAAATGCATCGTTGAACACATTGAGACGTCATATACTGCACAAGTCACTCGTTGTCCGTCATCACCATCGTCCTCATCTTCACCGCCATCATCATCGTAGTCATGGCGTATAATGGGAACTTCGCATGTACTGGGCCGTTATGGCAGAAAGAGAATGTGTGGCCTGGAACGCTCTTGTTATTTATCGTCAGCAGCATCATCGTTGTCGTCAGCGGTGGCTACGGTGAACAACAACGCCAATGTACAAGCCTCGACCTTGAGGAGCTTCACCCCTAAAGAATAAGTCAATCACGCCAGGCACTGCCCGTTGCCCCTATTCGTCGGCTGGTTCAAATCACTTGTTTTTCGTGAGGCCGCCGTTGCAGTGATGATATTCTGGAATGTAACCATTAAATGAAAGCTATGTACACTAAAAGCTCACTAATTCGCATTACAGTCGCCCGGAAGAAGATACGTCAGAAATAACTGTGTTTTGAATTACTAAAATTATGATAACTGTTTGGGTGTAACGTTCCGGAACCACGACATGATTATGCGAGATGTCATAGTGGAGGCCTCTATAAGTATCGGACATCTGGTGTCCTTCAACATGCACTCATATCGTGCTGTGGACGGGCCTCTGACATTTAGCTTCCATGAAAATGCGACCGCCGTAGCCAGGATCGGAATCGTGACCTTCGGGCGAGCAGATGACCGTAACTGCTGCACCACTGCGGGGAGCAGCAGTTATGGGCGAGATCTGGTACGCAGGCTCAATAAGAGAGCACGTTCAGTCTTGCACAGAAGAAAGTTATTTGCCTTCCAGCAAAGCGAGGAGTGTTCCCGAAGAATTCGAAGGCAAGTGCCCGTCATAGTTTGGGGCGCACGGTTTTTCCCGACTGCTAACAGCGTCGGTGACGCGCCAGTGCTCATTTTTTCCTAGTGCGGTGAAAGTTGAGGTCTGAGTCTTGAGGTACCGGCCGGGCGGTCAACCGACTCAATGCCATGATCCTGGAGGCAGTGCAAGGAGCTGATTCTGGAGGCAATCCAATACTTAAAGGACCACTTAAGATAAAAGCAATTTTTTGCTAGTTCGTAAAGTATGATTTCACAATCGCGAAAACACCACTCTTACCGTGACACGGTGCTTGGTAGGTGACAAAACGCGTGCAAAGAAAACAACGGTGGAAGAACCAGCTCGGGATTCCCGCACTAAATACCGTGATGCCATAGATTTTGAAGGCATATACCTAGTTTTTATGTATTTTCTGATGGGTAAAAATGAACTATATTGTCAACTGTCGGTGCTATAGACCTAGCACACGAAGTTTCAGAAGATTTCATTGAGACCATGCTGCGGAAATATACCAAAAATACATTTTGAAATATCTGGCATCACGTGCGGAAATTTTGGTGCCAAATTCAGAAATTAAACTTCAGCCTTGATTTTCGCCGCTAATAATGAACGTATGACAGTAGAAATTACGGCGTTAAAGCTTTAAGAGATCTAATGCCGTAATTTAGGATGATTTACGACGGGAACAGCGCCGGACGTTGGATAGGGAGAGAAAGACAGGAAGGGCGCTGACTTAAAATTGTTCTTAGTGAATGAAATCACACGAAGTCAGTGACACTTCGTAACACTGGTGCTGTACGTGACATCACTGTCGCAGCCTCCCCTACATCTCCGTTCTTCTTAAAACACCGAATTAATGCCTTCATCGCCTTCATATGCGGTGTCTTGACGTCGTGTAAAAGTTCTTTCAACGTACGTTTGTCTGTTGTCACGTTGCGGTAAAATGGATGCGAGTGACTGTCTCTGAACATATAGTGGCAATCACACAGGATGAGCCGTAGCGTCCCTGTCTTCTCCGCCTTTCACTCCTCCCCAACCCTTTTCCGCGTGTAGGGTAACAATGTGGCTGTACTAAACTGGTTAACCTCCAAGCCTTTTCTTTTCCACTATTTCTTTCTTTTTATAGTAAACGCCCTCACGGGCGCACACTTCGGTCTTAATATCAAGTGTTATATAGCGGAGCAGTTTGGTTTGAAATACCTCAGCCTAATGATCAGACTCGAAAATAGAAAGTGTCAGCTAGGTACCAGGGGTGAAAACAGACTCCTTAACTGCCTATCAAATAAATAAAAATATAACAAAAAGTGCACTGTATACAGCTTCAAGGGAAAGTTAGGCACTTAAAAAGTTCTGCTTCACGTTCTGGAAAGCAGTGCAGCCACAGTTAAGAATGTTAAAACACGGTGGCTACTTTGAACACAGGATGTTAGTAATCAACGAAGCTGCCATAGTTTTACGTTACTCGCATAGTATTACACATATCATACAAAAATGAAAACAAACAAACACACCTGGTGGTTATTTTCAGTACCACCCAAGTTGAAGGGATTCGGCAAAGCAGCAAACGATAATCGGGCGGAGGTGCAATGTACGGTGTACCACGAAAAAGCATTTATGCAACGTGTTGAGAAAGCGGTTTACTGTACCATTTTAACTCGTAGTAAACAATGCATCGGCCAGGCAGGATGCGGTATTAATGAATGTTCTCAAGAACTCCATTATGCGTACCAATAAATACAGGAAGCTGGTCATCTTGCTCGCGTGCATTGATTTTCTATGACGCCGAGTCACTTGCATGCGGTGAATTCCAACGGTGCCATAGATATCGAAGAAACACTTCTCAGTGTCGTCGAAGCGGGACCGTGGAATGGGAACTGGCCTTCAAAGCTCACACAAGCGCAAATTGCATCCATGCAGCACAATTCACAAATATTTATTTTGTGGCAGGCTTACTTATGGCTTACTTATTTACAGGCTTACTTACTTATTTATTTTGTGACAGGCATCAATTTATGAGAGTTAACGAGTGACTAGCCTTGTAGAACGATTATGACATGCCTGTGTGTGTTTGTGTGTGTGTGTTTGTGTGTGTTTATGTGTGTTTGTGTGTGTGTGTGTTTTCGAGTGCGTTTTCGTGTGTGTTTACTTATATTTCTTCAGCTCTCCAACAACGAGTGAGTGCTTTTTTGGTGGGGGAGGGGCAGGGTGGCTGGGAGCTCTTCGTTGCGTTTCACAGTTCACTGTGGGAGGGAGCAAAGATGGTTGGTCGAACATTCTGAGGGGGGGGGGGCGGAGTCAGCTGGCATTTGCTTAAGACATGCTTTTTCGTAAAACATTCAATGCATACTTAATCGGCAATAACGTAATCGTCATCGTAGCGTGGCCATAGGCGTGTTACAAAAGAAAACTATAAACAGCAACCAGCACTTTCAAATTTGAAAGTGTCGTAAACATTACAGAAATTCAGGATGTGGTTTTGTTAACAGTTTAAGGCCTTTAAACTTTACAGATGCGGCCTGGTTTATCCGCTGTGATGGAACCTGAATCTTAACACTCTGATGATTGTTCTTTACCGCCGTAGTTCGTGTCGTATGTGTTACGCGCAACTGCCTTGAACCACTATTTCCTACATGTACAGCTCATTCAGTGACCCATGCGAAGTATCGTCACGATATGCTCAGCGAGGATGCGCGTATCAGAATGGAGGACCTTTGCGGTCATTTCCTGCAACTTCGTATGTGTTTAGCCTGTTTGCGCTATACCCCAGTCCTCTACGTAGGAGAAAGTTATCATTAAGTCGTCGCACTCATCATTGCCATCAAGCTCAAGCCATGACTTGAAGCGGCTCGTGAAGCCGATGCCGAAAATCTCCTGTAATCAAGAAGGAAACAACTGATGTTTCTCAGGGGAGAAAAGAAAAAAGTAACTTTCTAATCTTACGCCCCGGCAGTTTTCGGCCTGACATATCGCAGCACAGTGAAACGCCATCAGTCCTGGTGCCAATTAACAGCTCGCCCTTTAACCCCCGCGCCGGTCGGTTAATGCTCGCGCCTGCCGGGGCAGCACGCTTCAACAGGTTCCCATTATGCAATGCAATTGAGCGCGCCTCGATCGCGCTCTGGAGGTCTTTCCCAGCATCGGTGATTGAGGCCTGCCAGCCAGGCTTCGCCTTGACCCGGCGCGCAAGTAAGAGTGCGGAGGTGGCGTTGGCGTTCGCCTCAGAACAAGTGGTGCACCCTTTACACTCCGACTAAAGCGCAGGAGGCTACACGCAAACTTGAAACACGTTTAGCCCGCACGTGCTTTCTCCTGGCTAGTTGTTTTCGCGCTCGTTCGCGCTACTCCCGTGTTTATAGGCAAGCGCGCCGATTGAAGGTGAAGGCCACACCCCCGCGAGCACGCGATGACTGCCCGAGCGCATACGACCGCGCCGCTAAGGAAGCGGCGTGAGTATAGTATACAAGGAGCGTGTAATTCGGGTCCGGCCATGGCTGTAATGCATGCAGCTCATAGCGTGCATTGTCGAGGCTGGCTCGGAGAGAAAGGACGGTGGCGGAGGCTACTACGTGTACGCTAACACCTGCCATCCTTGAAGCTTGGCGACCGAGGGCACAGCGCGAACGTCTTCTAGAACGGACACCATTACGTCCTGCTTCTTCGTCTTCTTCCTCCCGCACTCTCGCTTCGCGAAATGATGCTGCACTCTCTCTCGATGCTCTTCACTGCCTCCTTCTCACCCCCATTGAGATCACATGATGCACGAAACGGGGCTGTGCTTGTGTGTGCGTGCGTGTACTGCGCGTTAAGAATGACGTCTTCGTGGCCGGCGATGGAGGGGCGGAAAGAGAAAGTGACAGTCTATATGTATAGGCTACCGGGTGAACAGAAGGGGTTCAAATAGGAGCCTCGGCGAGGGGGCGCATAAAGCTTTCCCGTATAAAGGCCGGTGATCCTCCAGGCCACGGCGTCACTTTGTTGAGAGCTCTGTGCGCAGGTACCCGCAGTCCCGGAAAGGTCCCGTCTTGTGCGACACGCTTATCGGTTACACTGCTGCATCGTCACGCGAAGACGTTCAAGAGGAATATGGTGAGCGTCGGAAGCGTTGATGAGCATTGTGCTGGATCATACTGCAGTGATGAGGATACATCGTCGATTACAGTTATGCGCATCACTAAAGTGCCTAGCATAAGCGATATCAATAGATTTGTAGCTCGCGGATATCGCTCAGGGTTGTAGCCTGCGTTAGAAACAGGTCGACGCACATTTTGAAGGTCATGCCAATCTCGGTTCACGAAAACTGGAGCGAACGATTCAGAAACCCTAGGCTGCCGCCTCGGCTTATCCTTGTTGTAATAGACCATATACACAGTGTAGTTGTAGTACTCTGTAAAGCTGCCCAAGTGAAACGGCCGTGTACGGTAACTGCCTGAGCTTTTCTCAAATTATTCGTCTAGGAGAACTTTTCTAGAATTAAAGCACAGTCGCCATATCGGTTCTTCTGTTGATCTGTTTGTCAGCAAGTGCGCTTACCATATAAACTCAATTATCAGCAAGTCAGCTAGCTGCAAAGTGTACATCATGACTGGGCTCATTAAGAAGCTACAGTGACGCCCAAAGAGTAAAGCATAAAAACAACAACTGCGGTCATTAGTGGCACGGTACAGAAGCATACGGTTCAAGCTAAGCGACCGTATTCCTGATCTCAACAGGCAGTCTGACACGTCCAGTGAAATGGCGCGATGTTTCACTCCGCTTGCACAAAGTGGATCCACGTTCAACTACTCTAGCCTTGATTTCGGTTTCGCTTATCTCCCATAAAACCAATCTTCGGAAAAATAACTTGTCAACGTTACCCTCATTTAAGCATTTAATAACACACTGAAGGCTGGCTTCAAAGCCTATTTTCTGTCACTCTTTGGCACTGTGTATGGCATATAACGGTACCTTAAGAAACCTGCCATATTTTGTACACTCACTTACAGTATACAGTAATGTGACGGATGTGTGGCCTCCATCATTGTTCCTCACTTGAAAATAAGCATACCGAAATGTGGTACCAGCACGAAAGGGACGACGTAAGACAAGTCCTTGTAACTATATTTAAGTGATCTCGTTTATGCAAACATAATGAGGGTAGTCCAACATAATCGCTTGTCAGTGGCTCGGCAAGTTGCACCTATCAATGTCGTCATAGATGCGCCTTATTGTTGTTAAGGCTAAATCATTCGCTTCAAACAGGTAAGGATGAGAGAAAGCAGCTGTGGACACAGACCGAGAAGGAACGACAAACGATGCTGCTGATCAGTCCTGTGACCAGCGCTGCTTGTTGCCGTCCCAATCATGGAACAACTAGCCCAGTTAGGGGCTCTCCCGCTTCAATAAAGTATTTACGTGCGTACGATGCCAACATCGTTCACTTGGCTGAAACAGCTTAATTTTACGCGATGGTATAAAAGATACTTTAGAGCTGTTAGTTGAGTCACAATTAAGGGAGTCAACAGACCCCTCCCTTCCTTTCATCCTCGACATCTTTAAATTACCAAGTCGGAAGATTCTCTCTGAACTTGACTGCGACAACATAAGCAGACTTGACTCGATGCCATTACTCAGTATTTATTCCGCCCCAAGCTGTCACACTACACCCGAAGGTTGTGCTTGCGGGCAACCTGAATTTTAATTACCTTGCCTCACATTTTGCACGCAGCTTTGCGACAGCTCTATTATCCCTTTGACAAAGTAGAAAGTTTCAAATTGTTTTCACCTGGCTGTGAAATTAAAAATTGAGTATACCAATGCAACCAACATTCGCTTCGCTAAACTATTTGATGAGCAAGCCTCGGATCAATAACTAAGCACAGGAATAAATTGCATTTACCATGAGATGGCCGCCAACATGCTTCACTACCAAGGTAGGGTCGTACGGAGCGCAGTGTGCTTCGTTTACAATGATATGACTTTCACGCGAAATCATCTTTGATATTTTTGATGATTCCTATACTCGGATTGCACCGAAAATGAACATTACATTAGGAGAAGATTACAACGCTGAAGCTGTTATTTCGCAATGTTGTGCGGTGCATAGCCATAAGAGCGCATCAAGGCTTTTCAAGGTTTCTCAACTGTTTCATCATTAGCACGATGCATCGACGGCGTAAAATGCCTAAGCGAGCTATAAATGCCGTTTCGTCCTTTGTGAATAGTGAAGGGTTATTACGCAGTAAATAACAGAGAGCAATTGAGGGCAATTACTAGTGATTTTGAGATGACATGCTTGACCCAGTGGTCGTTGCGAATGCAAATGCCCTTTTTTTTTTCACCAAGGAGATTACTTTGTAGACATCAAATATAGATGTTAGGGTATCGGAAGGTTAGCGATGAGTCAGGCCACCTCTACATATTTCGGGCAATAGTAAAACTTGGAGCACGCTATAGACATTCGCCTTCAAGTGTAAAATGCGATAGCCAATAGCGTAGTCTAGAGCGTAGTCTGTAATTATTTTTAATGAGGGGTTCAGCCATCCTTTAGTTATGTTTGCGCGTGCGTTTGTACGTGTGCGCGTGTATATACATACGCTGAATTGAAAGTTTTGAAATTCACATATGAAATTCACTAGTTCTGCAACTTAAGAGGCAATTCACACGTTTTGATGCTTAGTGTGATTCTACGCTTCTGCCGCGTATTGTTCTAAGTGTTAATGAGACTCCTCGCGCTACATAACATTCACACAGCGTTTTCTCTCGATACAGACGTGGCTCTAGGGTAGAACTGCTGCTTGCCACGCACAGGTCTTGGGCTCAATTCTCACGCAAGTCGAGTATTTTTGTGTTTTTTTGCTTAATTACCTGTATCTCAAGTGGTCGTTCACGGACACTTATTTTGCGCTCGCAACCTACGATGCCGACACTGGAATCGAGCTCTATAAGGTTATCGTGTTGATACTGTTCTTTGTTTTTGTTGAACGTAAAAATTATGAGAGGTGTCTCACGTGTCTGTGTATTATAAGGAAGTTGTGTCTTATTGTTCATTCGCATTTTCTTCGCGCAAATAGCGTATACAAAGGTTAATAATGTAGAAGTCTTAAGAACTGACCAATTTAACGCTGAACAAATCTCCCGCTCGTACCTTGGGCGAGTGCACTATGGGTATTTTCGCGAATTTTTTTTTTTTTGTTGGAGGTGGTGGAAAAATAGTGAAGTGCAATGAAGTCTAACAACCTCTTATGAGAAGAACAAATTGTTTACTCTCAAACGAAAGCTCTTCCTCTCTTTTTTATTGTGTTTTTTAAGCGAAATCGGGACTTCTGAGAACTGTTATAATTGTTTTTTTTAGTAGCACCGTAGGGAGTGAAAAAAAGTTTGTGTAAGTTTAGATTAGGTAAAGATATCTTGAAAGCTTGAATGCTTCAAAGTGTGAACGTAAGTCTTGGGATTTATGAGTGCTTAAATTTTACAACGCCAACAAATCAGTTCGGTAAACACTATACTATAAACGTGAAACTACAACTAAAACCATAAAAATAACCAGGAATTGCCAAGATGACATTGCATTGCGTATATAATTCCTAGTATTCAACGGGTTAGTAGAACGAGGCCCCGGGATTACGCAAGCGCATGGCCTTTAGAACACTGCTCATCAATAGTTGAAATATAAGCTGACGTGTCTAGTGCTCGAATTCCGTGGTGTTCAAGGAAGCTGACAAATCGCGCAATATTCCGCGTTCATTTCCCATCGGGTGTTCATGGCACTTGAAACTTCAATCACAACGATAATAACTAAAAAAGCATTTTAACGCAGATTAATTCAACAGGGATAAGCTCAAGTAAATCACCTCTTGTCAGGGGGTAAACGAGCGTCACCTTTCTCTTCCTCTAAAAAGAAAGTGTCTGTGCTCCAGAGCGCGTTGCTGCAGCAGTGTTTCCTAAATTTACCAAACAGGGTAGTGAAACAGCGTTTAAGGCTTGGCTGTCTACCTATTATCGCACACGTAATTTGATCGGTGGTTTCGGCAATGAACGTTGGTGCACTCAATTTATGCGTTTGTAAGCCAATTTTTTTATAATCAAAATTACTTTGAAACATCTGCCATGGCATGTCTTATAAATGATATGGTGGCTCTTGGTACTTTCAGAAAATCTGCCGATGTCAAAACAACATAACATAACCAGCTGTACATCTGCTGTTAGTAATGTTTGTGATAGTATAACACGGCTTGCAAAGGGGCACGTTTGATTGTGATCATGGCGACGTAGGTTAGGCTCAAACTTGATACCGTGTAGCGGTGACAAACTTGTTATCGTGATCAAGAAGTCCGATACGGATGTGTCCTGATCGTGATCGATATTGTCCTCGTGGTACCGGTATTACATTGGTGTCTTCAAAAGCCTTTATCTGCTTGTCTTTTTTTTTGCGATTAGCGTTCACACTATAGTGTTCTTTTAACTATTCAATGTAGATACACTATTTTCTGTATTTATTGGGATATTGGCTATGGAATTTGTAAATGTGTGCACAATTATTGGCCTTGCTGTATGCCTTGCACAGGAGGCGTAAATTTCCCTCAGCTGGAGTTTATCATTCCTAGTTCGTGCCTTCATCCATTCTTTTCGGAATAAAATTGAAACTGAAAAGAGATGCGATAGGTAGGACTCGACTTCTTCGTATAATAGTGATCGCTCTCTTCCTGCCATAGCCCATATATATCGACTCCATAGCGCAAAACCATCTCAATTGAGTAATGTGCCATTGACAGGATTTAGCTACAAGCAGTCGAAAGTTCACCAACGGTTCGCATTTCTTTAAAAACTTGCATTCTCCTCGAAGAGACGCTCGCAGCCATTCCTATATTGGCAGTTCTTAGTTTCGTCAGCGTTTAATGACCCAATGTTAGAATCGCAGTATTACACTGGAACTGTTCGAGAAAACTCTCCAACTAGCACAAATATCAATGGGTATGTAACTTGCACTTCCGAGGAAGAAGTATGTGTGTGCGTATTTCAAGTGACGACGCAATCAGTGCCTTTTGAGTCGATCAATAGAGATTGACTATTGGTCGCGAGACATGTGTACATTTTCCGGAATGACGTCGCGCTTTCATAAGTGTTCGTACGCGTGCTCCTCTATGTGAAACTGTAGCCACCTTTGCTGATTGCGTGAAGGGATATTACGTATTGTAAGACAGCTCCAGCGCTAGACGAAGCCTCATGCTTGATGTAAAGCAAGATAATTTATTGCGAATTAAAGAAAATATTTATTTTTCTTTCGTTTCAGCTTGGCAAGGTGCCTTAATGTATCCTCACTGTGGCAGATACTGTGAGACAGGACATTTATCAGAAATTCAAGCAGGTTCTCTAAATCGCCTTATGATATGTTCTTCAGATGCTGGTGTTAGTAGGAACCACCTATATTTGCTTATATTTCAGGCTGAAAAAAAAGCAGTTCATTGCAAATATGAAGTACGAATGAATGCTAAATGAACAAAAGAGTAGGCTGTCATTTCTTTCCTTTACAACTTTTTTCAGGGCCCCATGGTGAAGCTGTTTCTTCTAGCCACTCTGGCAGTGGCGTATGCGCAGCAGGTAAGACCCTTGACGACAACTGTGCAGGTTAACGTTTTCAACAGATGGTTAATATCGCACAGACAATTAAAAACTGAAGAAATTTTATGAGCACTTTTACTTTTACCCTACCTTTTTCCTTTACCCTCCATGGTGGTCTAATGGCTAAGGCACTCAAATGCTGACCCGCTGGTCGAGGGATCGAATTCCGACCGTGGAAGTCGCATTTTCAATGGAGGCTAAAATGTGTGAGACCCGTGTGCTCAGATTTAGGTGCACGTTAAAGAATTCCAGGTGTTCGAAATTTCCGGAGCCCTCCACTACGGAAGCTTTCATAATAATATGGTGCTTTTGGGACGTTAAACAACAACAATTAATATTATTACCTTTTTCTTTCACCACTTACCGCTTAAGCCACGAGTCAATCTTTCAAAACGAAGGGAAAAGTCGCATTTGCTATTGCGCGACGGGACAAACACACTAGTTTGCGCTTAATTAGAGGACCATATAATAAAGGGTAGTATTTTTTATTTCAATTTACCAGCTTTCTACGAAAATAGTAACACCTTTAATAAATAATACTTGTACCCACCATATTATTTTGCTTTTTTTACTGCACATGCCGATGAAAACCTCTTCTGAACGTGTCCTTGCAATGTTAATTCTCCTTTTGTATTATTTATCTTTGAATATCGTGCCCATACCATCGAAAGTATCGAATTTGCGCAAGAGGAAATTGTGAACTGTGATTACGGGCTTTGCTGGAATGGAATTATTACGGAACGACGGTAATTCCCTCGGGCTATTACACGCGTTGCCCTAGGTGATGGCCATCCCACATGCACTTAATTGTACATGGTTATGAGCAGGCTGAATAATCATTCACCATAGAATTCTTCTGCCAGGGCAAAACAAATTACAGAGATGAGGCACCTTTGGTATACCTAATGAAATACAAAGGCAATCGTGCTCAATGAGTGTTCAAACTGGACTTCAGTATGTTTTTTTATTTTCTTACCTTTGTATATAAGAGCGCTCTCATTTTTTCCTCAGCCCGTCTCGATTAATTTATAGACAGTTTTACACGTGTGTGTGTTTTTTTTTGTTTCTGGGTGTTTTCTTTTCTGCACTATTAGCGACGTTAACTAAAAGAGTCCATAAATTTGAAATTTGAGGGACGCTGCCCTTCTGTACGTGTTCTTGTATATGCCCATGTTTTTGTCTAAATTTTTATAGTTGTGAGCAGAAACTTCAAAACTACCTTTCATGGTGCGTGTAATTTACACTTGATACGCAATAAAAACTATGCCCGACCACGGTGGTCTAGTGGCTAAGGTACTCGGCTGCTGACCTACAGGTCGCGGGATCGAATCCCGGCTGCGGCGGCTGCATTTCCTATGGAGGCGGAATTGTTGTAGGCCCGTGTGCTCAGATTTCGGTGCACGTTACAGAACCCCAGGTGGTCGAAATTTCCGGAGCCCTCCGCTACGGCGTCTCTCATAATCAGATGGTGGTTTTGGGACGTTAAACCCCACATATCAATCAATCAGCAATAGAAACTAGTCTCAGTGTGCCGAAGTTGTACATTTGACAAACGAAAAGGAGCATTGCGTGCAGTTGAAGGTCCTACATCCACGGAAACGGCATATGCTGCATGCTTTGTAGAAGAACATTGCAGTCAGTTGCAATGCCATGTGAAGTCATCAGTGAAGCCGTTTGGGAAATATCTTAAACATCATCTAATTGTCTCAGTGGATTGGGCCGAAGATCTTCACTTGACCTATTTAATGTGCAATATACGATTACAATGTGCAGCCGTATGTATGAATGCACATCATCCTGCTTAGATGCCGCTCAATGAAGAATGGACAAGGTGTTATCTCTCTTCTGAGATAACGACGCAGCATTCCGCTCATAATGAGTTTCCGCATTGCTGACGCAGTTACGAAAAAAAAAGCTTTAGCGAACCTTTTTCAGCCCAAAATGCCCTGAGCTTTTGCTGCATCTGCATCTATCAATACCAGCCGGCACTGATAATCTAGGCTGTCATTTGCATGGGCTCTGTGCCCAGGTAAGCTGCAGTATACCCTTAAGGTCCAGCAGCAGACAACTTGAAGCTCTGTGCGGACCTTCGTCTCGTCAACAGCACAGTATTCGAGATAGCTCTGGGCATGCTTTCATGTGAGACGGAGCTAGATAACACCTTAGTTTTGCGGCATTTTTTTCAACGCTACAATCATGCTAATCATCAACGCCTTGTCTCTTCTCTCTTTTCCACTCCTTCCCCTTTCCTAACTCTGGGTGTCAGGTAAAAATTCTTTTTTTTCAGACCGACCTGTCAGCTATTCTGTCCTAATAAGCATCTGCCCCTTTCTCTGTTAAGCTCTACCTAGCCCATTATACCTAGTGACACAGGTAATTACAGCAGTGTATTGTATAAAAAGAAAAACAAAAACACGATAAAGTGTGGTAGTCCACTCACCAAGTTTGGCTGTTTTTTCTTACCGTCATTGACGTTTGCATAGTTTGCGCACCTTACAAGCTCGTGCTGCAACGCTCGTTCTTTGTGCACCCGCAGGACTACGACAACGCTCCACCGGAGCCGTACCAGTTCAAGTACGATGTGCAGGACGAAGAAGGCAACACGCAGATGCACGAGCAATCCAGCGACGGTAAAACCGTTCGAGGCTCGTACGGCTACACGGACAAGGACGGACTGTTCCGCATAGTAGAGTACATCGCCGACGAAAACGGTTTCCGGGCTATGATCAAGACCAACGAACCCGGAACCAAGACCGGAGGCTCGGCTGACGCCCCCGTGGAGTCTTCAGCTCCTGATCAATAACTTGACGCGTTGACAAAATGGCTTGCCGGAATATGTCGTAAAAGATTACTGTAGATACAGAAGGGATTGCTATGAAACAGAAAAAAAAGAAAGTAGGGTAGACTTTTCTGAAAGCCAGCCTTGCTAAATGGTTACGCAGAAAGCGTTGCCATGAAAACCCGCCGAGTTGAATTCATCACTGCCGCCTGCTTGACCTGTGTTATCATGGCTGCGTTTCCATGAAGTTGTGGGTGAAGAGCGTTGCCGTGTGACTGAGGGGCTTCCCAGTACTCGATGCTCCCGATATCGATGTGTTGCCATCCAGCTGAGGTGGCGAGGATTCGGGTGATGCCGAGTCCGTGTCTCAGTAGTAAATGCTTGTGTAGGCTGGAAAGTTGGTCATTGCAGTAACCTCACGGTACTGCGGTGTCTCATCCGCTTACGGCATATTTTGTTATCGACACATATTACACAGCCTAGAAGAAATTGAAGGCTTTAGTGCCGCTTCACTCAGGTATGGCATTCGATAACTGGAATATATCTTTTCTTCATAAAACGACACTGCGTTGTGACAGCTTTTTTTGGCGTCCGAATGTGCACAGTTATTCATTTTCAGAATAAAGCAGCTTTGAGTTGCCGCTTCAAACCTTTGTAGTTGTTTGAAAGCGCGTTCGCTGTGTCTTCTCACTGTAAATGCGAGAGGCTGGCGTAATAATGGTGTGGTCAGCGCTTCTTAGTATTCTTTTGCGCAGAGCTGTCACATTAAAGTAACTTTTGAGACAGAGATATAAACACGCTACTCAAGTTGGCAGGTGCCATTAAACTGCTAGTGCCTGACGTATTGACACATGTATTGTTGATTGTTCTTTCTCTGCTTGCAAGACTTTGGCGCTAATTCTTAGCTGATTATATTTTTGTCATGTTTGTGTTACGCAACACACAAAAAATGTGCGTGGTCGCCCACTATGTCCTCTTCGGTTGTAGTAGTACTTTTCTTTCATTAACCACGTTCGTTAACGGCATTATTCTGCTGCGACATGTGACTAACCGGGCAATAGTGCAAAACTTTTGATGGCTTCTTGTGTGTGTTGTGTATTGTCCCGTCCAAAGCGTGGGTGCTTTCGAGGGAAGTGTGTTTATTTATTACTGCTTCTGTGATGTCAGTGTGAGTACACATTGTCGCTTACACATCTGTGATGGGCGTGCATTCAATGCATATAAAAAATGTTCCTTATACTTTTTGCCTACGGTGTAGTTGCTTCAAACGTGGTATGTGACAAGGGGTTCTTGCGGGCACGAATTTCGACTCTTGGATATTTCTGAGTGGCATTGTATGTTATGCATGCATTCGCTGTGGTAGTTTGCTTGCTGCGATTAAAAAAAAGCCGAGCATAGCCAATTTTCTTGTTCCTACATCGTTCCTGTAGATGCCTTGGCCGATACGATGAACATTGCTTTATTTTCTTATGCGGCTGTGTCCACTTTATACAGGCATCTTTTGGATAAGTAGTGATCTGTGCACTGACTTGTAGTACGCCTAATAAATCGTTTCTTTGTGGAGTATTACTTTGCTCTTCCGTGAATTTCGAACACTGCTTCAATAGCACCCTGCGCTAGGTATGATCACAAAACAAAAATAACCGTAGAAGGGCATCGTATTCCATAGTTGACGACACTACACATATTTCTCGGACGTTATTCTCTACGAACATCTCACAAATAAAGAGCGGGGGGAGTTCAAAAGGGAACAGAACACGTGTTTCGCATTAAATCTGCAAAACGAGGTAGTCTGCGAGCGCCTTAATGGCAAGCACAGTACTGCTGATTACGAATATACCCACGTTTTTTCCGCATACTGAAACTATAGACGTGCGCCCATTGCCATGGCCGTGGGTGGGAGGGGGCATACGGTTCTCATAGAATAACACATATTCCAAACTGTACCGCTGTAATTGTATCCGTACAAACACACGTGATGTTCGCAGTCGTGTTGTTAAAAGTATACACATCATCATCATCATCATCATCGTCGTCGTCGTCATCATCATCATCATCAGCCTGACTACGTCCACTGCAGGACAAGTACCTCTCCCATGTTCCGCCTGTCAACTTGGTCCTGTGCTTGCAAACTTTCTAATCTCATCTGCCCATCTAACTTTCTGTCTCCCCCTAACCCGCTTGCCTGCTCTGAAAATCCAGTTAGTTACCCTTAATGACCAGTGGTTATCCTGCCTACGTGCTACATGCCCGCTCATGTCCATTTTCTCTTCTTGATTCCAACTATGATATCCTTAACCCCGGCTTGTTCCCTGGTCCACTCTGCTCTCTTCTTGTCGCTTAAGGTTACACCTACCATTTTTCTTTCCATTGCTCGCTGCGTCGTCCTCAATTTAAGCTGAACCCTCTTTGAATGTATCCAGGTTCCTGCTACGTAGCTAAGTACCGGCAAGATACATACCTTCCTCCTAAGTACCGGCTGTTATATACCTTCCTCCTAAGGGATAGTGGTAATCTAGCCGTCATGATTTCAAAGTGCTTGCCGAATTATCCCCTCCCTCCATTATTTTGGTTTTAGTTACTTAAATGTCGTGGTTAAGGTCCGCGGTTGTTACCTGCCCTAAGTAGACTTAGTCTTTTGCAACTTCAAGTGCAATATTACTTATATCGAAGTGCTGGTCTTTTCCGAGGTTGTTGTACATTATGCTTTCGTTTTTTGCAGAATAATTTTAAGACCTACCCTTCTGCTCTCCGTGTCTAGTTCATTATTCATGAGTCGCAATTCGTTCCCAGAGTTACTCAGCAATGCAATGCCATTGGCGAAGCGCATGTTACTAAGGTAAGCTTCATTACCTTTTATCGCTAACTCTTCCCATTCTAGGGCTCTGAAAACCTTCTGTAAGTACGTGGTAAATAGCATCGGGGAGATGGCGTTCTTGATTGGTATTCTGTTGGTTTCTTTATGAAGCACTGTGGTGGCTCTTGATCCTCTGTATATTTCTGGCAGGATCTTTATATATGCTTTGTCAATGCCCTGATTCCGCAGTGTTTGCATGACTGCATATATTTCTGCTTAATCAAATGCCTTCTCGTAATCTATGAAGGCTATGCATAGTCTTTTCTCTATTATTTTTTACATAGTTGATAGTATAAATGTGGTCGATTGTTGGGTAGCCTTGCCGAAATCCTGCTTGTTCCTTTGTTTGTTTGAATTTTAAAGTTGTCTTTATTCTGTTAGCAATCACCTTTGTAAATAGCATGTATACAATGGAGAGCAAGCTGATCGGCCGGTAATTCTTGTATTCCTTGTCACCTCCTTTCGTATGTATTAAGATGATGTTACAGCGAAAGCTGTTGTGAGATCACAACTCGGTTCCCGTGCAGTTGCCCGCCCCCGCCGGTGTCGGTAACCGCATTGCGCGTCCACCAATGGCACATCGTGGCTCGAACCCGGATCTGCTGGGTGCCGGCCTAGTATTCTACCACTGAGCTACACCGGTGCTTATGACTTGTTGAGAAGTGCGTTCGGGCATAATTATGCCTTGAACAACTATCGTTTTTTCTTAAACTGTCAGAATTCCTGACTTTCTCTGAACAAGCGGAACGGAAGACGTCACCCCCCGGAATGGGGGACCATCCATCCAACGAGACAGCGGGCCCTAGCCGTTTGCATAAGGATGGACCGAATGTGGGTGACCGCGTTGGCGCATCTGCTCCTTGTGATGATTCTACCGAGAGCTCATCAGTGGAAGAGATGGAATCGGAAGCCGATTTCAGGACTTTCCATACCCGCCGGCTGAAAAGGAAGCTTCGCAGGATGTCATCAACGGCGGAGCCACAACCGGCGCTAGACAAAGGCAAGCGATGTTTCACCATCTCGTATGTACCCATGTCTACATCAGACAACCTGAACTCACTAAACAGACAGTCATTGACTAATTATTTCGAGCAAGTAGCACCTGCTCAAGTGAATGAAATTCGCATAAATAGCAGGAAAACATATCGTCAGTTGATGTGACAAACAAAACCATTCTTGACAGACTGAAGGCCGTCATGCAGCTCGGAAGTATTCCAGTTCGCGCGTTTCTCGCTCACGGGAAAAAAACAACGACTGGCGTGATAAATGACGTCAACGCTGATATCACAGACGCTGACCTCCAGAATCTTGTGACGTCGACTATCAGAATCTTGACCGTACGCTGCTTCGGGCAGTCATCAAACTGCATCAAACTAGCATTTTATTCCGAGACTCTGCCTCCTACCGTGAAGGTTGGATACGTGAGACATCCCGTGCGCCCTTACGTGCCACGGCCTTTGCAGTGTCACAAGTGCTGCAAGTTGGGACACGTCAGCGCAGTGTGCAAAAGTGAGACAACTTGCCAGCGGTGCGGCGGGTCTCATAAGGTGGAAAACTGCGATACTGCTGTTCCATTGAAATGCCCAAACTGCTCTGGTGCACATGAAGCAACGTCGAAGGAGTGCCCGAAGATCAAAGAAGAAATTCGCGTCCTGCAGAAGATGGTCAGAGACAACTCGACACACAGAGAGGCTGTCACGTCCATCCGCCGACACAGACGTCGTCTAAAACGTAGGCACCAGCGAAAGCATAGTGGACATAGGAGTGATGCATCACCATCAGCAACAGATGAACATACACGTGCGCATTATCAGGCCGCTACACCCATGTTGTACGCACCACGCCCCTGAGATGCAGAAAGTTGACCAACGCCCGCGTTGCACGCCGATGCTTCAGATACTGAGTGGCCTTCGCTACCGACCGGAGCAATAAAAAAGACCACATCATGGGCTGCAACTTCAAAGAGGGCGGAAAATGATAGGCAAGACTCTGAGAAGAGCCAAACTACGCTGAAGCATCTACTAAAATCTATTCGTGCGATTCTCAACGAGCTACACACACCAGGAGCGAAAACAGCAGTTCAGATCCTCGACGTGCTGGAACCGCTACTGCTAACCCTTCCATAAACAATATGGTGAATTTCTTCGATGAACGTGTGCGCACCTCTGCTATAATGCAGTGGAACGCACGAGGTTTGCGAAGCCGATTGTCTGACTTTCGACAACGGATGTTTAAATACAAATTTCCGTTGGTTGTAATATGTGAGCCGAATATGATGTCGTCGTTTCGTATTTCCGGATACGTCACTTTGTGGTCACGTGATGATCGAAATGCGGGCAAAGTAATTATATGCGTACGTCAAGATTTAACGTACGTGAGACATGCCGTGACTCCTCATGCTTCTAACAACTATATTTGCCTATCTATAAAGCACAAGCGACGTTCAATATCAATCATTGGTGAATACATTCCTCCTAGAAGCCACGCGGACTGTTCCCATCTCTTGTCTGTGCTCCAAGCTTGCCCTGGACCTCATGTATTAGTTGGGAATTTTAATGCACATCATCCCATGTGGGGGTTCTGCCTCAATGAACAACCGCGGTAGGGACATTGCCGATTTTGTGCTCAATCAGGGCCTGATGTCCATTAACGATGGTTCACCTACTTACCTCCGTGGCGCATCGTATAGCAGCTGTCTAGACGTATGTTTTGTGAGCAGAAGTCTCTTGCCTACCACCTGTTGGTTCGTAGACGTTGAAACACATGGAAGTGACCATCTCCCTAAATATATACAGCTAAATGGATTCCGTCGTTCGACTCCCCTGCCTGTGAAAAGCGTAGACTGACTAGGATTCCAAGCTTCTGTAAATGCTCAGTGTGGGAACATTCAATCTATATCTGAAATAGAAAGCCTAATTGCATCAGCCTTAACAACGCATACGAAACTTGTGAATGTGTCGCTACCAAGATCACAACTTGACGCACAATATGAATACCTTCGTGCAATCCGTCGCCGGGCAGAGAGAAAATACAACAGGACGAAATCACCATCTGACCTATCTACAGCCCGCCAAGCACAACGACATGTATTGCGACACCTCGATAAGCTCGATAGGCAACGGTGGAGGGTATTTTGTAGCTCTCTTGATCCCAGAAAACCCCTGTCTCGAATATGGCAAACTGTCCAAAGCCTTCAGACGCCCACTCAACAGTTGTTCCCTTTCCGATCTTTGGCTCTAAAGCAAGGTCGACCTGAAGTAGAGGTTGCAGAAGATTACTGCCACTTACTCGTAGGTATGTCCTCCTCATCGATATCACCTTCGTGTTTAGCCTCACCGCCATCCAGCGACGATCGCCTCGACTTACCATTCACAATGCACGAACTCGACGCTGCGATTTCTGTGTCCCGATGGTCGTCCGCACCAGGGCCTGACGGCCTTACTTATTCGGCTCTATATCACCTCAGCCAGGAAGCAAGGCAGGCTCTCTTGTCGTTCTACAACTCTACGTGGGAAACAGCGACAGTCCCAGAGAGTTTGAAGTGCAGCCGCATAGTGGCCTTACTGAAACCAGGCAAGTGTTCACACGAGTTGTCTTCTTATAGACCCATTGCCCTAGCCTGTTGCATCGGTAAGGAGATGGAACGCATGGTGCTGGCAAGATTGGAATGGCTGCTGGAACATAATGTCGGCTTACCAGATTTTCTAAATGG